TTTTGATGATTAATATACATCAAATCTCGTAATACCACGCCCACACTAATCACCCCATCAATCACCTTATCCTAATAATAGTAACAATATTAATAATACATTAATTACATCAGTATTACATCATTTGTTTCTTTTAGTTTATTAATCAGTAGCCATGTACCAAACGTCTCTGGAGACTGAGACAGACTCATTGCTTGATGATCTATCACTCATCTCAAACCATTAGACCAACCTGTGATCACGTGATCAATGAGTAGTGTCACGTGACTGTATACCTTGTGATATATCAGGTAGATTGGTTGCTTCTGATCCTAACTGATAGAGATATATAAAGAGATAGTGTTTGGATTATTTACTTCTTCTAATAGTCTCTCAAAGTCAATGTGTGTCTCCATTACACTCAGCATATCTTTTAAAATACTGTCCATCACTAAACACATGTGACCACGTGTTTTGTTTAGAATTTATTATGAAGGCGTGGCTTGCTGTTAAAATTAATTAAGAGTAAATACGGCACAAGCTTTTGGGTGGGGCTCAAAGCCTCAAACTTAAAGGTCAGGGAATTCAGCTCAACTTTTAGAGAAAAATAAGGTATATATTATATATTTAATGCCACACTGGTCATTGCATTCACTACAGTTATTGCTGTCTGGTCTGCCACAGTTTGCTCTGGTGTCTTATAGAGAGGAAGAGGTATCTGATAGAAGAGGTATCTGATAGAATAGGCATGGTTTGAAAGTGGTCATTTAAAAATTTTAGCAACTTAATATAGGAATTTATTTAGAAACACCCCTAGTATTACGAGATAATATAAATTCAAGATTCTTTTATAGGAAGAGCTTTTTTCTAAGGCTATTCCAATTAATTTGATCAAGCAAATTTCTAGTAGTGAAGGGGTGGGGTGAGACTAGAAAATTTCATTACTCCTTCATTTGTATGTGGCCTGTGTCTGGTATTAAATTTTTTAATTTAAATGACTTGTGGTTGTCTGGTTTCCTGCAGTTTACAATTGGTGTTTTATGAAGAGGAAGAACTTTTATGAAGAGCTTTTAGATTTGATGAAGAGCTTTTAGATTTGAGGAAGAGCTTTTTTCCTTAAGGCCTTCATACACAAAGCAACTTGATGTTAGCAACATTTGTTGTTAATTTGATCAGGTAAGCAACATGTTGCCAAGAATAGAAAGCTGTTCTTTTTTTGGCAACATGTTGCTTGGTTGCTAGAAGGCCTCAGTTATCTCAAAGTTGCATGGCATTTATGTAAGCAGGAAAGAAAATCTATGAATTTGATTAAAGTGCTGAATTTTAAATCAAAATTATAGGTGTTGGTTTTAGGACTTGTTCATCTGTGTGTGACCTGTGTCTGGATTTAAATATTCTTGTTAAATTGTCTATTTTAAATGACTTATTTTTGCCTACATGGTTTGCTAAAGTAGCTTTTATGAAGAGCTTTTCTTTCCTAAAGGCCTTCATACAAGAGGCAACTTGTTGCTAGCAACATTTGGCATTTGTAATAAGCAACATGTTGGCAAGAATAAAAATATGTTCTGTTTTGACAACATGTCAAATTAAATTCATTGTTCTCCTTTCATATTGATATAGATGTAAGCATTTTCATTTTGTCTCAAAGTTGCATCGCATTTATGTAGGTAGAAAAGAATAACTATGAATTTGATTAGAGTGCTCAATTTTAAATCAAAAGTGTGGGTTTTTGACCTTTTGAATGTACAGTATGCTTTAAGTTTATGCTAGAGTTAGAGTTGAATCAAAATTCAAATTCAGCATCAGTATAATATTACATCAGGCCTAGCGTCATATTGTAAATCCTAAGCCAGTTACTTTAATGCAATAACAGCAATGAGGACAAATATGGGTGACACACAACTATGATACAAACTTGGGGAATTAATGATGAGGGGCTGATACCAGCCAAAACATTTTCCACATCATTTAGTTATCGAACCTCTTGCATCTGGGTAGATAATTATGCTCATAACTTCTTTTATATCACAGGTCTAAAGGGTTCTTAATAGATATGGCAGAAAATGTAAGTCACATATCACATGTTAATGTGTAATTCTTTCCTTGTATGATACCATTGTGCATGATACTTTACTAATTTGTGTTATTCATAATCTTTTAGCGGGTAAGTCACATCACACATGAATGTGTAATTTTAATCTTTCTTCTATGATACCATCGTGATACTTTAATAAACTGTGCTATTCACAATCTTGCAGGAAGTAAGTAAAATCACATGTGAATTATGTGTATAGTCACTCGGGGCTATTCCAACCAGTTTTTGCACTATGATCTAATTAAATATTTATGAAGTCATAACTCACTTCTTGTTGCTCTTAACCACTTACTTTAACCATCATTGTGTTCTACTAAGTCTATTCTATCTATTCATCATTAATACAAGCAAAGTTCAGCTTGAAGTTTGAATTAAAACTGTAGATAAAGTGACCAGTATTTTGGGGCTATTCCAACCTGATGCAAGACTAAATATTTGCCTGCTTCTTTAACTTTTGTTATTTAGGAATTGAGCTTGTTATTTGATATTTAAAAAGATATTTCTCTGCTGAATTGATTTGTCTTGCTCTCAGTTTTGTATCTGCTGCACTTAGAAAGTTATAATAAAAAATTAGGACTCTATGTGGGGCTATTTCTGACCCTTGGCACCATGCTGCACATAAATTTCCTTTATACAGAGGGACAGAATAGCCCCTAAACAGAATAGCCCCCAGACGAAATAGCCCCAACTTACTCTAAATTTATTCTTTTCTTCTATGATACCCTTGTGGTGCTTTACTAAACTGTGTTATTCACAATCTTTCAGCTTGTAAGTCATGTCACATGTGAATGTGTAATTTTATTCTTTTCTTCTATGATACCATTGTGATACTTTACTAAACTGTGTTATTCACAATCTTTCAGACTGTAAGTCATGTCACATGTGAATGTGTAATTTTATTTTTTCTTCTATGATACCATTGTGATACTTTGCTAAACTGTTATTCACAATCTTTCAGGGAGTAAGTCACATCACATGTGAATGATTAATTTAATTTATTCTTTTATTCTATGATACCATTGTGATACTTTACTAAACTGTGTTATTGACAATCCTTCAGGACGATGTAAGTCTCATCACATGTGAATGTGTAATTTATCCTTCCCTTCTATGATACAATTGTGATAATTAACTAAACTGTGTTATTCACAATTTTTTAGCTTGTAAGTCGCATCATATGTGAATATGTAACTTTATTCTTTTCTTCAATGATACCATTCAACCATTGTGATACCGGTACTTTACTAAACTGTGGTATTCACAAACTTTCAGCTTGTAAGTTGTGTCACATGTGAATGTGCAATTTTATTCTTTCTTCTATGATACTTTTGTGATACTTTACTAAACTGTGTTATTCACAATCTTTCAGCCAGTAAGTCATGTCACATGTGAATGATTAATTTAATTTATTCTTTTATTCTATGATACCATTGTGATACTTTACTAAACTGTGTTATTGACAATCCTTCAGGACGATGTAAGTCTCATCACATGTGAATGTGTAATTTATCCTTCCCTTCTATGATACAATTGTGATAATTAACTAAACTGTGTTATTCACAATTTTTTAGCTTGTAAGTCGCATCATATGTGAATATGTAACTTTATTCTTTTCTTCAATGATACCATTGTGATACTTTACTAAACTGTATTATTCACAATCTTTTAGTCAGTAAGTCACATCACATATGAATGTGTAATTTTATTCTTTTCTTCAATGATACAATTGTGATACTTTACTAAACTGTGTTATTAACAATCTTTCAGGGAGTAAGTCACATCACATGTGAATGTGTATTTTTATTCTTTTCTTCAATGATACCATTCAACCATTGTGATACCGGTACTTTACTAAACTGTGGTATTCACAAACTTTCAGCTTGTAAGTTGTGTCACATGTGAATGTGCAATTTTATTCTTTCTTCTATGATACTTTTGTGATACTTTACTAAACTGTGTTATTAACAATCTTTCAGGGAGTAAGTCACATCACATGTGAATGTGTATTTTTATTGTTTTATTTTATGATACCTTTGTGATACTTTACTAAACTGTGTTATTAACAATCTTTCAGGGAGTAAGTCACGTCACATGTGAATGTGTAATTTTATTCTTTTCTTCTATGATACCATTGTGATACTTTACTAAACTGTGTTATTCACAATCTTTCAGCCAGTAAGTCACGTCACATGTGAATGTGTAATTTTATTCTTTTCTTCTATGATACCATTGTGATACTTTACTAAACTGTGTTATTCACAATCTTTCAGCTAGTAAGTCACATCACATGTGAATGTGTAATTTTATTATTTTCTTCTATGATACCATTGTGATACTTTACTATATTGTGTTATTTACAATCTTTCAGCCAGTAAGTCACGTCACATGTGAATGTGTAATTTTATTCTTTTCTTCTATGATACCATTGTGATACTTTACTAAACTGTGTTATTCACAATCTTTCAGAGAGTAAGTCGCTTCACATGTGAATGTGTAATTTTATTCTTTTCTTCTATGATACCATTGTGATACTTTACTAAACTGTGTTATTCAAAATATTTCAGACTGTAAGTCAAGGGACATATGTGAAAGGGTATTTCTATTCTTTTCTATGATACCTTTGTTACTAAACTGTGTTATAATCACAATTGTTCAGGCAGTAAGTCACATCACATGTGAATATGTAATTTTATTCTTTTCTTCTATGATACCATTGTGATACTTTACTAAACTGTGTTATTCACAATCTTTCAGATAGTAAGTCACGTTACATGTGAATATGTAATTTTATTCTTTTCTTCTATGATACTATTGTGATACTTTACTAAACTGTGTTATTCACAATCTGCCAGCCAGTAAGTCACATCACATGTGAATGTGTAATTTTATTCTTTTCTTCTATGATACCCTTGTGGTGCTTTACTAAACTGTGTTATTCACAATCTTTCAGCTTGTAAGTCATGTCACATGTGAATGTGTAATTTTATTCTTTTCTTCTATGATACCATTGTGATACTTTACTAAACTGTGTTATTCACAATCTTTCAGATAGTAAGTCACATCACCTGTGAATGTATAATTTTATTCTTTTTTTCTATGATACCATTGTGATACTTTACTAAACTGTGTTATTCACAATCTTTCAGCGAGTAAGTCACGTCACATGTGGATGTGTAATTTTATTCTTTTCATCTATGATACCATTGTAATACTTTACTAAACTATTTTATTTGCAATCTTTCAGTCAGTAAGTCACATCAAATGTGAATGTGTAATTTTATTCTTTTCTTCTATGATACCCTTGTGGTGCTTTACTAAACTGTGTTATTCACAATCTTTCAGCCAGTAAGTCATGTCACATGTGAATGATTAATTTAATTTTTCTTTTATTCTATGATACCATTGTGATACTTTACTAAACTGTGTTATTGACAATCCTTCAGCACGATGTAAGTCTCATCACATGTGAATGTGTAATTTATCCTTCCCTTCTATGATACAATTGTGATAATTAACTAAACTGTGTTATTCACAATTTTTTAGGTTGTAAGTCGCATCACATGTGAATGTGTAATTTTATTATTTTCTTTAATGATACCATTGTGATACTTTACTAAACTGTATTATTCACAATCTTTTAGTCAGTAAGTCACATCACATATGAATGTGTAATTTTATTCTTTTCTTCTATGATACCATTGTGATACTTTACTAAACTGTGTTATTCACACAATCTTTCAGGGAGTAAGTCACGTCACATGTGAATGTGTAATTTTATTCTTTTCTTCTATGATACTATTGTGACACTTTACTAAACTGTGTTATTCACAATCTTTCAGATAGTAAGTCATATGTCACACGTTAATGTGTAATTTCATTTTTTTCTTCTATGATACCATTAACTGTGTTATTCACAATTATGTTCAGGCAGTAAGTCACATCACATGTGAATGTGTAATTTTATTCTCTTCTTCTATGATACCATTGTGATTCTTTAATAAACTGTGTTATTCACAATCTTTCAGAGAGTAAGTCGCTTCACATGTGAATGTGTAATTTTATTCTTTTCTTCTATGATACCATTGTGATACTTTACTAAACTGTGTTATTCACAATCTTTCAGATAGTAAGTCATATGTCACACGTTAATGTGTAATTTCATTTTTTTCTTCTATGATACCATTAACTGTGTTATTCACAATTATGTTCAGGCAGTAAGTCACATCACATGTGAATGTGTAATTTTATTCTCTTCTTCTATGATACCATTGTGATTCTTTAATAAACTGTGTTATTCACAATCTTTCAGAGAGTAAGTCGCTTCACATGTGAATGTGTAATTTTATTCTTTTCTTCTATGATATCATTGTGATACTTTACTAAACTGTGTTATTTCAGACTGTAAGTCATGTCACAAGTGAATGTGTAGTTTTTATTCTTTTTTTATGATACTTTTGTGATACTTTACTAAACTGTGTTATTCAAAATATTTCAGACTGTAAGTCAAGGGACATATGTGAAAGGGTATTTCTATTCTTTTCTATGATACCTTTGTTACTAAACTGTGTTATAATCACAATTGTTCAGGCAGTAAGTCACATCACATGTGAATGTGTAATTTTATTCTTTTCTTCTATGATACCATTGTGATACTTTACTAAACTGTGTTATTCACAATCTTTCAGATAGTAAGTGACGTTACATGTGAATATGTAATTTTATTCTTTTCTTCTGTACCATTGTAATACTTTACTAAACTGTGTTATTCACAATCTTTCAGCATGTAAGTCACATCACATATGTGAATGTGTAATTTTATTCTTTTCTTCTATGATACTTTTGTGATACTTTACTAAACTGTGTTTTTCACAAACTTTCAGACAGTAAGTCATATGTCACATGTGAATGTGTAATTTTATTCCTTTCTTCTATGATACCATTGTGATACTTTACTAAACTGTGTTATTCACAATCTTTCAGGATGTAAGTCATGTCACATGTAAATGTGTAATTTTATTTTTTCTTCTATGGTACCATTGTGATACTTTACTAAACTGTGTTATTCACAATCTTTCAGAGAGTAAGTCATGTCACATGTAAATTAATTTGTTCTTTTCTTCTATGAAACCATTGGTTCATTGTGATACTTCACTAAACTGTACGTGTTATTCACAATTCTTCAGGATGTAAGTCACAACTCGTGTGAATGTGTAATTTTATTCTTTTCTTCTATGATGCCGTTGTGATACTTTACTAAACTGTATGTTTTGTTCATGATCGTTTAGTATGTAAGTCACATCATATATGAATTTGTAGTTTTATTTTTATCTTCTTTGATACTATTGTAATACTTTACTAAACTGTAAATATTATTCACAATCTTTTAGTATGTAAGTTACATTACATGTAAATGTGTAATTTTATTCTTTTCTTCTAAATACCAATGTGATACTTTACTAAACTGTGTGATTCACAACCTTTCAGGAAGTAAGTCATGTCACAGTCACATGCGCATGATTGTGTAATTTTATTCTTTTCTATGATGTTGTTGTTAACTTATTGTTATAAACTGTGCTTTTCATAATCATTTAGAGAGTAAGCTTACTAGATGAATTGTTTGTGATTGAATTCTATTATTTTTTTAAATGAAAACACTGTGATACTTTACGAAATTGGATTTGCAATTATAATATTGCAGAGTGTAAGTCACATCACATGTGGATGTTTAATTATTCTTTTCTTCTGTCATACCATTGTGACACCACTTCACTGTGCTATTCACAATTTTATAGATAGTAAGTTCAAGTCACATGTGAAACTGTGAACATAACTATGTTTTTTCTATGTCTAAACTTTTAGTCAGTTGTAAGTTGCAAGATGTGATTTAATTTTTTTACTATTAAATGAATTCTGGCTACACTATTATAGGATATAAGTAAGTAAATTTAATAATTATGTAACTTTAACAAAATTATACAGTTTAAAACATATTGTATAATTAATTTATGTACTTATCTTTAGTTTTTATGCATACTTATAGGCACCTACAAGAGAGCTCTCAAAGAACAAGGAAGTGCTGATGTAGCGTATGCTCGTCTTATGTTACTGGGATCAGCTGGTACTGGCAAAACGTCTCTCAAGCGTTCATTAATGGAAGAACCTTTCAATCCTCATACTACAAGCACCATTGTATCTGATGTATCGTCCGTACGACCATTTGGGCATGAGTGGCAAACAATGAGAGGGAAAAAATGGAGAGAAACCACAGATAAAGATGAAATTGAAGAGCTTGCATATTTGTTTAAATCCTTTCAATCTAAACAATCCTCGCACCATAGATCTATACTGAGTGCACAATATTCTCATGATGAATTAATTTCTACAAGTTCTATAACTTCCGTTTTGGGTATAGAGAGTAGTTTTATCCAATCAATACTAAGGAGAGCTACACCTGGTGAACTATCTTTTTTGTCATCGTTGTCACAATCAACTGTTCAAGTTAGTCATACTTTAATAGCATTATAACATAGTTTTATTAATCTTTAGCCATTTCTTCATATATGGGATTGTGGTGGTCAGCCAGTGTTCCTTGAGATTCTCCCAGCCTTCCTCACTCCTCGTACAATGTTTCTTCTCCTGTTTGATGCTTCAAAGGATTTCAGGAAAAGATGGCAGTCACGTCAGAATACTCCTGATGGTAAAGTGCTGTTTGGTGAGGTAGTGAATGAAAGCACGAGTGATCTAATGGCCAAATGGATGTCTACAATACACAGTCACCTCATGAAGCACAACAAAGATAATACCTCTTCTTCTAGTCTCTATTGTATTGGCACTCGTGGTGACAAGTTGAATTCAGAAGGCAAGAAAGAAGTAAAGCAGCAAATGCAGTCCCTGTTTGAGGAGAAAGATTTCTCAGATCTTATCAAAGATGTGCTAATCATTGATAATACGACCTCAGGCAGAGGTGAAAAAGAAGATCCAAGCATCAAAGAATTACGCAAAGCTATTGATGGTTTTATCAAAAAGTTAGTTGTTCCAACTCCTGTCAATTGGGTTCTATTTCGCAAAGTTTATCAAGAGCTAAAGCAGAATGTCATTAGTGCATCTGATGCTATTGCCATTGGAGTGGCATGTCATATACCAGCAGCTGATGTTCCTGAAGTATTGAAATTCTACCATGAGCTGGGAGCTCTTCTTTACTATCCTCAAATAGAAGGTCTGAAGAATAAAGTCATTCTCAGTCCAAAATGGTTTGTTGATACCATTGGGAAGGTGTTCATGTTCCCACTAGAAAGAGGATGGAGCAAAGAAGATAGATGGTCGTTGTTTCAAAATAAAGGTATTCTTGTTCAACCACTCTATCAAGAAGTATGGCAGTCAAGTGGTATTGATCCAGAAGAAATAATTGAACTTTTAGTTTATTTTCGTCTTGCAGCTCCAGTTCAAACTGAGCTTAGCAGATTCAAGCAATATTTTCTTCCAGCAGTGCTACAAGGATACACAGGTGATCCTAATGAAGTACGACCTGGTTATGAGCTAAGAGCCTCACCTGTACACATTACATTCTCCACTGGGTATGTACCTCCTGGTTTCTTCACTCGTTTGGCAACCACTGTTGCTACTGATGCCAATGTTAAACTCAAAGTAGCACACTCTAAACTTGAGATAAAAAGTATCTATCGTAATCGTGTCTGCTTCTCTTATGGTCGTCCTTCTGATGATTTTGTTCTCATTGATATTAATGATGCTATTCATGTTAATGTATTGAGATATGTCCCTGAATGTAGTCATCCTGTGCCTTTCAAAACAGTTTGTCAGAAAATCATGAAATTGCTTGAGGAATGTTGTCAACAAGTAGAAGACACTCTCACTCTTTACCATAATGGTAACAATGCCGATCAATCAAGAAAAGTACAATATGTTTGTCAATGCAGTCCTTCCAGTGATGTCCATTACATTAATGACATTGATGCTGAGAAGCAGCTATGTTCCGAGTTTGTTCACTGCGACATGGAAACTATTCCTCGCCGCCTAACCAGTAATGAGTTACTGTGGTTTAAAGAGGTATTCCATTTATTAATTTCACCATTTAACTCCCTCACACAGATCAGTGTACGTGAGTCCAATGATCAACAAAAAGGTATAAGCATTCACTGTCACTATATTTACATTATTTGTTCACAATAGTTACAAGTATATTGACTATCACAAATCTACTTGATATCATACGAGTGTTAGAAAAGTGTAACTTTCAGAATCGAAAATGGCGTAAACTTGGTCTTTGCTTGGGTCTGATTCACCCTGAATTGAAGACTATTGAGGATAATTATCCACGAGATGCTGAGCGATGTCTTGAAGAATGTTTAGCAAAATGGCTTACAGTTGATATTGAAGCAACATGGGACAAACTTGCTATTGCTGTTGATGAAGTAGGAGAGATATTAGTTGCTGAATATATAAGTGAGACTATAATTAATTACTAATAATAATAAACTAATAATTAATATAGGATCAACAAAAGGGCTTTAATGGTATGCCAAGATTTCAAATTAATTAAAACTATAATTACATAGTTACATTAGAATAAACCTATAATTATTAGTAGTTGCTATTTTTAGTGTGCAATGCTTATCTGCTGCAATGTATACAAGAAGATATTAAGTAGTTAGTATTCTGTTGTTATGTAAACAGCTACATTTATACTTCATTATATTTTAACATTTTAATAAGTGTACAGTTTTCTTTAAATAAAATGTTTTATTCTACCATGATGGAGTCACATTTTTGCAGGTGTTGTAAACAGTTTTTTAGTCACTTCTATAGTTGGCATTTGTTGATTGTTTCAAGTTAATTCTTGCTTTTATATTAATGAATGCTTTTTAGCACCATGCTGATGAATAAGGAAGCAGTTCCTGTCACAAGTAGTCAGTGTATATTGATATTTCCTGAATAGAGTCCAAATATACTTCCATAAAAGGAAAGACATCTTGGAAATGTTGACAGAATCTTGTCTACAGTACAAACACTACACTAACTAACCTTTAACAAAGATCATATGATTCACTGCAGTAGTGGGTGGAAGTTCCATTTAAAAATATGTACATTACATTTACATGTATGTGTTCACAATATTCATATCTAGAGTTAAGATTAGTTCCACCCAATGGTAGATACTATTATGATATCACAGTCACTATATGATTTTATGATGATGTCATTAGTTAGTTATGGTAGCTACAGCATTAAAGTATTCCAATAATAGAATATCAACAGAATGAAGTACATGTACATGTACAGGTAATGGAACTGACTGTACACATAACTGCATGTACATGTATCTATGAAGCTTGTCTCTTCCTATCTATTTCTCAGTCTCTCTCTTATAAAAATTACTCTCTAGCTGTAGAATGACCTGGTTGTGTATCATTGTCATTTACTACTAGTAATTTCTACTCCTCCATTCCACTGGATATCACTATGAGTGGATCTAACCTCTTGAGAAATGCAATAATAATAATAATAATAATAATAATAATAATAATAATAATAATAATAATAATAATAATAATGTTATTAAAGCAATAAGACAAGCAAACAACACGAGTAGTTCCAAGAAAGAGAGAGAGAGAGAGAGGAAGAATGATAAAGAGTATATTATAATCACAATATCAAGTCATAATTATTATTATTAATTATTATCAGTGGGTATAATTGTGTACTTTATTATCAGACAACGGTGCTTTGGGTGTTAGCAGCTGCTGATAATTCAAAATTAATCTTAGCCCCACCCCCTCCTCCTCCCCCACTGTGATTAGATCCAAAGGAATGGATAGAGTTACGATCCTCACCACCAGAAGTTAGATCATCAGCACTAGCAGATACCTTTAAAATAAAGAACAATAATGTCTATCACTGCATTTATGAATGTAGCATCTTGTCAATAAATTTTCAAGGGTATTTCGTCAAAAATTGTTACGAGAGAATTTTCTATTTTTATAATTTTTTTCTGATACACATACATGTACATGTTCTTATGTTGCGTAGAAAGTTTGAGCTGATTCTGATAAAAATACGAATTTTTAAAGTTGCTCCAAAATCAGGTCAAAGTCCCAGTACTGTAGTCCAGGGGCGTTGGCCAAATTTCGCCAAAAATAAAAAGTTGAGAATTCTCCATTTTTATAATTTTTCCTTATACATATACATGTTCTTATGTTGTGCAGGAAATTTGAGCTGATTCCGATCAAATTTGGATTTTTTACAAATTTTTAAAGCCGCTCCAAAAGCCATATGCTATTATAAGACTTTTCAGCTCATGAAGCATAATACTTTTTAGATCACTTAGCATGTTTTGTGGGAAGCCCTGATGTCCTTATCCTTATTACATGTACATGTACATAAGAAGTTTTATTTATTGTCCACTCACTTTAAAATAATTTGGTGTCAGACCATCAGCTGACGAATCAGAACCAGGCGACTGACGGAACATTCTTGATGTGGGCGGTACTCTCACGTCAAGAGGTAGAGGAGTGTCTTGATAGGATATTGAAGGAGGATAATGACTACCACCTGGAGCAATACCAAGTGGTAGATTATTAGGACGTGTTGC